CCCCCACCCAGTAACAGTCTATGATAGGGGGCATATTACGGGCTATAACCACATGATCCAACTGTTAATGAGTGGGGGTAAACCCGAAACCCTAAACCCTAAACCCTGAACCCCCACTAAACCCTAAACCAGTCCCCAAGCTATACTGACTACTCTCCTTTTCAAAGGTGGCTCTGCAGGGTCCCATGTCTGTTTGGGAATGATATGTGCCGGGTCCAGGAGACTTAGAAGGCATGCCTTGAGGGGTCGCTACTTGAAGGAGAGAGGGACTTGGTATGCATACCTTTGGGGAATTCTTCAGCTACCTACTGAGGCCCCCTGTACCCTAAACCAAATGGTGTAGCAATTTCCTTTTTTCCATTCCTTGCCAAGTCCTGCTGACCCTCCAGGTACTCAAAAGTGGTCCCCGTGTAGTCCCCAGAATAGTTCCGAATCTAATCCCTGTGCCCTAAACCCCGATGCCCTAAACCCCGAACCCTGTCCCTCTTTGTCGCTTTAAATCCCTTTCTGTTGAGAAGAAAGGTAATTCCTCATGCAGGAGAGGCGCGATGGTGGGTTGACTCTGTGCATCTTGGACGTGCGCTCCTGGCGGGACGCTTCGATGGATAGCCCCTACCTGCCCAAATATGAGTTCTTGGGTTTCTAGCTTAGGGTTGAGGGTTTAGGGCTGATTGGCAAGGTTTACCTTCGAGCTTTCAGTTGCCAACTGCTTGCCTCCCGTTAGTGGGGAGCGGGGGAGTGCGTATCGACACCCACCAGTGCAGAACCCTCCACATCTGCTCGTACTAATACAAAGCAGAATTATCCGGCACCTCTTAGACTCATCATGTCTGGCACAGAAACAGAAACCCCTTAGTCGTGGATCAGGGTGTGGGACGTCCCAGGGGCTGCTTGGTAACCTGGAATCTCCTGGTCAGCGTCACAGTCCTCGTACACATGATATCCCCAGAATCATCCCAGCAATCCTTGTTTTTCCTGTCCTTAACTCCATACCAACCACCGGTACGAAAAGCCCATCGGATGGATTGCATCTGGCTAGCTCGGAATGAAGGAGCTGATGCTTATGATAGCACCTTTGATGCTTGACAGCTTTTCTTCGCAATAGCACATTAGCTTCCGGCTTCTTTTCCATTACTCTATGCAATCATTTTCTTCCCCGTCACCTGGTAGTTTCCATTTCTCCCCCATTCCTTTCTTCCCTGCGAAGCGGATCCAATGGAGGATCTCTTGGGTGCAGGAAGCGGTCTTTCCCGCACGAAAGGCAAGCGTGCCCAGCTGCTATCAAGCCCCACCCGGAACCCTAAACCCCAAACCCAAAACCCTAAACCCTTAACCCTAACCCCCAAACCCTTGACCGTGAACCATAAGCCCTTAACCCTGAACCATAGATCCTAAACCTTGGCCCATAATCCCTAAACCCGGTTCAGGGTTAAAGTTTGAGGGTTTCGGACTTCGGGTTGGGGAGCCAAGCACCTGTGCCTGCAAGAATCCGATCACACCAACGACCGTCAAATGACCAAACAGTTTGCGATGTAGGAAATTCTCCTAGTTGGGGGGGAGGGGGGGGGGTTGGGGGGGGTCAGGACGTCCATTTATATCTCTCCTGCCGAATGTGGTCCTGATTGCAAAAACCTTCAACAGAAGAAGGACTCATGATGATAAGGAACACCCTTGTGCTTGAGAACGTCAAAGATTGAAGTCCAGTAGGTCCTTCCTCGGCTTTACACCTAAGGACACACACGGTAATTGTTCAAAGTATGCAGCTGTCCCCCAAAATGGCCATAAGGTAGGTTCCTATTTTGGTCAGGATCTCCTTTAAAGGAAGGGTCTTCCCAATGGTCTCTCCTTTAAACGGACCTTTAGAGCAACCCTCACATGAAGGGAAGCTGAATTCTAGATCCTCAACCCGAATCCCTAAACCCTAAACCCTAAATCCTAAACCCTAGACCCTAAACACCAAACCGACATCCTCGGTCTCCGAACCAGCCTTGACAGCTTACTTACTTTGACTCAAAGTTTTAGGACATTGCGGCTTAGGGCTTACGATTTAGGGTTTAGGGTTTAGGGTTCAAGGTTTAGGGTTTAGGGTTTAGGGTGGGGAATATGGATCATAATAGTAGGCTACTGGCTTTCCAGGTAGGCCCTTACCCGAGGGTTTAGGGCGTCAAGCCCCAGATAACACGAAAACCCTGAGCCTGATCCTGAAACGCTAAAAACTCCGAGCCCAGGGCCCGAACACGCTAGCCCTAGACCCTAACCCTCAACCCTATGTAACCCCCCAGAACCCTAAAACCTACACTCAAGACCCTAAACCCTAATCCCTAAACCCTAAACCCTTATCCCTTTTGTCTGCCTACTAAGCCTTACCCAGACCCGCAAAGGGATCCAAAAATTAGATCCCCTAGAACCATATGGGAAATTACATAAGGATTATATAGGGGTTATAATGGGTTCATATAGGGGATCTAATTTTTGGATCCTCCCAGGGGTCTGGGTACAAGTACCCCCGAAACCTCAAAGCTCCAGAGTCCCTGCTCTTGCCGGCAGCCTTCGACCCGAGCTTGACCAGCATCGCAGCTGACTGCCTCGGTTCGGGCTTCGGGTTCAGGATTTAAGGTTCGGGGTTAAGGG